GAAGACCATAGTTTATTGCAGAAATTTCGCAATAAAATAGCTAATATTAGATATAAATTTTGTCCTGTATGCAACGAGCGAATTCTGTCAATAATGATTATCAAGCAAATGTACCTATATTGTTACACAGAAAAAAAATCACCAAAGAAGTTTTTAAGCGAAAACAATATGGATCCTGGAGACGTACTGGAAGAATTAAAAGGTCTTACAGAGATCAAAAAGATGTTAATCGCCCAAGTTTTTACGGTAATGTCAGTATATCAACTCCGAAGAGATTAAAATTCCTACAGGAAAAATGTCATAAACTTTTCTCAAGACATATAAGAATTCACAAATCGGCTTCCGTGATATCCATCGTCATTAGAAATACTCTTGGTGCGATAGCAGTCAGCAAATGATCTAGCAGGTTTCAGGGATTTCATTGTACATCGCGAAAAAATTACTAGAGCCCTATTTTGGTTAAAAGAAAATAACATTTACTATAAAACATAATCATTGACAACGAAATTATCCAATCGTTACCCGTAAACGGATCTATCAGTAGTCAGTTTAAGCAGGTTCCTGATGAAACAACAGATGATATATCAGATGATGAAGGAAATGAAAATAAACAAATATCACGTTCGTTTGTACCATCTCTGCCTCTAACACAGCGTGAAGGTGATGCCATTAATGATACGTTTAACTGCGTGTAAAGCAACGATTCTCCTTTGATTTAGCCAGAGATCGAAGGCATTCCTGTCAATGAATTTAGTACACCTAGATATATGACAAGAGCATTTCCAACCCTTTATCTATACGGATGTAATGATCTTTATTCTGAACAGCCTCGGGACATCAAACTGGCAGAATATTTTAAGCATTTGTTGTGGTATAAAGACAGAAGGTTCGCAAGACATTTCAGGTAGAGGTATTTTGCTTTGAACTCTATAATGAGATAGAGGGCTTTACAAGAAGGAAAGGTTTACGTTAGTCAGCACTTAAGCGAAGGGCAACTTGATGTTACAAATATCTAGGAAATGATTAGCAATGGAGATAATCAAATAGCAGATCAGATAATGAGATATGGGGAAGGGTTACGTGGTTTGAGACAGTTTTGGATAGCTAGACATTACGAATTATCAGATATGGTTAAGCAGATGGATCATCAAGGACTGATATTTTTCACCTTTAGCGTGGTCAATTTTCACTGGCCTGAACTCCATCAATTAATGCCAGATGACAGGGAAGATTCAGATTTTGCAAAGCATTGTATGAAGAACATTGTAGATAATCCACATGTTGCCTCTTAGTTCTTTGATAAATATTTTGAAACATTCTTCCATGATGTGTTAGTACCTTGATGGAACCTAGAAGATTGGTAGTTCTGATATGAGTAGCAGCATCGAGGAAGCGTACATATGCATGGTATAGGAAAGATACAGAACGCATCTGTAATTGATTGGAAGCAATTAAAAGAAAACGAAGAAGAAATGGACAATATAATATAATATATAGATTCAATAGTTACCACAGTCAATCCAGAAATTAACGCAGCTATACCAGAACAACATCCATACTAAAAATATAGTGATAAAATAGATGACAGTTCACAAGATTATATCTAACTGATCAATAAACTACAGAGACACACACATTGTAGCCCTTCATATTGTCTTAGAGTCGACAGAAGAATGCGTCAATAAAAGTGCAGATTTGGATATCCTATGGATCACAGCGATAGTACATTCATACGCGACGATAATAATAGGCAGCCCAAGCTCATTACAGCGAGAAATAATCCAATTCTTAATCTGCACAGCTGACTCCAATTGCAGGGTTGGTGTGCTAATGTCGATCTAAAGCCAGTTTTTAGCATCTATGCGGCCTTACATTATATTTCTAAATATGCCAGCAAGGCAGAACCTCAGTTAATAGCTTTTACAGAGATATTTAGTCAGATCCTTAATAATAGCAATCCTAAAGAAGCTTCGCTTGCATCGATCTAAAACTTCTTCTCAATAGCGTTTCAAAACGAGACATCTCGGCTCAAGAAACTTGTCACTTACTTCTTAGCATTCTTCTTTACCATTCAAGTCGTACATTCGTTTCATTAAATTTTAAGGATAAAGCTACTAGATGGATTCATGGCATAGGTAGCAGAGACAATGAAAAAGGTTTCACCAATATTAGAAATGCAAATCGTATGGTAAAATTAGCTATCAACAAATATTGGAATCGACCTGAGAAGCTTGAAGAATTTTCATTGTTTAAATTATATTTAACACATAAAAATGTTGGTGAAAAATGGAAAATATGCAAGAAAGAAAATATCATACGTATATGGCTACGACTATTACCTCTTCATAATAGTGATTAGTGAAAGGAGTTCTGCTGAGTAAAGGTCATTCTTCACGTTAAGCATCAAAGCTTGAACAACTGACCGAAAATAATAATTTCGCTTGGTCAACACTTTATAACCAACATGTTGATACGATCAACAATGATCTAACTGACATGCTTGGTCAGCCTGAAGATGAAGAAGACGAATTAAATGATGATGAAAGCCAAGAAGAGATTGAAGATGAAGAGGAGGAGGAATTTTGGTTTGATTGGATGCAACTTGCCAAGATGGGATCAAATTCGAGGATATTGTCTTCATCTGATCTAGAATCTCGAGATATAGATCAGAATCATGATTGGATTAATGACGCTCAATAACATTATTTCAACATTGACATAACAAGTATTAGCAATTTTGTGTAGCAAGCTTCAAGTAATGACAGAAATAATATTAGAGAAGATGATACCGATTTTGTTGATTCTCAAACACTAAAGAGAATCAAAAAAAATTTTTTTGAGCGCATAGAATCACACTACAACAAAATCCTAAATGGTATTCAGGTAGAAGCATTAAGAATCATAATAATAGGAATCGCAGGTACCGGAAAGTCTTACCTCATCAAGGCAATTCGAGTAAGACTTTACGTAATGGTAGGTAGTGGATCTAAATATCTGGCACTGTGATTGCATTCACAGGAGTCGTAGCTTTTAATATCAATAGTGTGATGATTTATTCAACGCTTTTCATACCAATAATGAATAAAATAATTATGATCTAGATAGTAAACGACTGAAACAATTGCAAGAAAGGTTATAAAATATAATCTACCTCATTATCGACGAAAAAAGCATGGTTAGGCGGCGAATGATTGGTTTAATTGACATGAGGTTGAGGCAAGCATTTCCAGAAAGCAAGGACGAACCTTTCGGAGGTCAGTCTATGATAATGCTTGGTGATTTCAGGCAGCTTTTACCAGTGTTCGACCTTCCAATGTATACTAACCATATGTCGCATGATCCTATTTCTAATAATGGCATTGCATCATATAAACAATTTAAAGAAACATACAAACTTGATGTGGTTCAAAAGCAATTAGGTAACTCTAAAGAACAGCAGACCTTTAGAGACTTACTTCTAAGAATGAGAGAGGTGAATGCAGTTTTGATAATTGGAAAAAGCTCAGTACAAGATTTGAAGGAAAATTCGACAAGACCGAATAGGATCAGTTTTTGGATTCCATCTTTATCCTTACAAAGTGGAATGATGTAGACAAAGTAAACATAGAAATGCTTAGCTCGTTGAACAGACCAGTAGCAAAGATTACAGCAATATATAGTGAAAGAAGCGAGGCAAAAAAAGCTGACTCCGATGTGGCGAAAGGACTTGAGGTTCAACTGTTACTGGCAAAAGAAACTTGCGTAATGTTCACGGTAAATTTATAGACTGAAGCCAGTTTATTTAACGGTGCAATGAAAACTGTACAAGACATTCTATTTGAGGAACAGAGATCACCTTCACTTCCTACAGCAATTTTCATCAAGTTTAATCATTACGAAGGACCCACTATCACAAAAATTGGAGATGTCAACGTTATTCTGATCGTACCTATTAAACGCATCTGGGAATCTAAATCTAGAGCGGCTTGTTCTTAGCTTTAAATTCTAATATGTCTCACGTGGACAATAACAGTTCACAAGAGTTAGAGACTCACTTTGGCAAGAACTAAAATAGATCTCAGGAGTTGAGAATTCGCAGCAGATCTTTCATTTGTCATGGTATCGAGGGTCCGTTCTCTTAGAGATATTTTCTTTAAGCAGTTTATTTTCGACAGACTTTAACAAATAAAGGCTTGCAAAAAACTTCAAGAAAGAAAAGACGAAGAAGAACGCCTACTTTCTTTAATACCTCAAGAACAGGATTAGTATATTGGTGCAAAGGAAAAAAAAACAAATCGTACGAAAAGGGAGTTTTTTTTTCGCATATTTAGTAATGATAGATTTAGCGGTATATTTTGCTATGCAACAAGAAGTTTATTTTTTTTGATATATAATAACCAAAAAACACAAATTAAAAAGTATATAATTTTTTTATTTGTTTTTCAAAAAGTTTAAAATTTGTTTATTATTTTTTTTAATAAAATACATGTATATCGTATTTCTATTTTTGTCGATTTCATGATTCATTGTAAAACAGTAAGAACAAATCACATGGCATCTACTCACAGGTTGAGCGGGCGGACATCGGGACACTTTGCGTAGATATATATAGTCCTTTACTTCGTTCCAGACTAATTACTTTTATACAAAATGAAAAATTAAACTTTTAGAAATTACATTATTTTTATGTAATAAAATAAAAAAAAAATTGTTAATTATTTAATATTATATTATACATAAAAATTTCATAACACATAAAATAATTCTTATCAATAAAATTTAAGATGATTTATATTAAATAGAGTATATTAAAGAAACATTTATCATAAGACTGATAAAATGATTTCTTATCAGTAATTCTACTTAGCCAATTTATTTCATAGTTGATAAATGCTGGGTAGTAATCCTGATCTTCAAAACCACATCAATCAAAATCTATAAGTATTATATATTACATATCATCAAAACCCTCTTGAATCATGATGTTACTCTTACAAAAGTCACTAAATACCAGTTTTTTTTCATGTAATTTCTGCAAAGCATTGTGAATTTCCTGTAATATTTTCATCTTTTGCTAATTTGCCAGTAGCATTGAAAAGTATGCTACCATTAATATATTCTATAATAATTATATGTAAACTATATATTTCATCCTTGTTGTAGTATAATAATTAAGATATAAATCCATATTCAGCATACAGTTTATGAGCTTTAACATTGTATTATTATGCAAATTTAATAATCAATTGACAATTATCATTATTTATGTATGCATATTAAAGATTCTTTTCTTTTATTAATTTATCATCATAAATAAGCCTAACAATTACAGTCAACTCTTATTATAACGAACTCTATGTTCTAGATCTCAACTTCGCTATAAGGCTATAGTGAAGATTTTAAGAGATTTGATTGGCCAATTCGCTATAACAAGAGTATTTTTATTATATTTGTTCAAAAAATTTGTTATATCAAGAGTTCACTATATCAAGAGTTGACTGTATATTGTTTATTTTAAACTTATTAAAATAAGGAAAAAATCATTATACATTATCTAAAGAATGATCTATTAAGTTAAGTTATTTATAAAATTCCTTTAATAAACAAACAGACTGCTGCAAAGCTTTAAGTATCTGTATTATATGATATAAATAATTGCTATTCTTTGTTTAAATAAGAAATATAAATAATATAAAATAGTATTAGTATTTAGTTATTTGATCGTTTGGTCACAGTCAAAATGGTTAAATTTTATTTTAAGTTTGACCGGTCAAAAAAATTTTTTTTATATAATAGCTCACAAAAGAAACAGAATATAATTAGTTAATTACAAAAAAAATTTGATGCCTTCAATGTTCAAAATGTTAAAAATTGCAAAAATTGACACTTTTAATATTCAGAATATTCTATTTTACAAGAATTTTTAATGTCCTGAACATTGGAAACCAATTTTTTTAATAAATTGTAATTTGCAAATAAATGACAGCCAAAATTTATAAAGTCATGTAACATTTGACTGATTTTGGCTAATTGGTGATTTAGCTGCTTATTTTGGCCAATTAGCCAAATTGGCTAGTGGTTAAAAAATTAGGCTTGACTGCAACCAAATGCTAACTATAGTATAAGAGAATTAATAACTGATTGATTCAAATGTACTGCTCCTGAAATACAAAGCTATGAACCTATTATTACTATGATAAAATATGAGCAATTACATATCTCTCTTATTTTTCTTATTTTATCTTATCAAATTTAATTAAATAAGTATTTTATTACTTACAAACTATATATAAATTTGTATGTAAATTTACCTTTTCTTATGCTTAATATTTAGCATAAAAGATATTTCCTTGAATATAAGAGTCACTATGTGTTATACCAATTTTATTCTTTAATTCATAAATCATAATTAATCCAGTTTTTCCATATTCATTTTTGATTTAGCATCTTATCATACCATTATTACTAGATTTATCAGAAAGAACTCTTTTTCTAATGAATATTTAAATAATTTATAAATGTATTTCTCTACAATTTTCTGTCGACTATCTTCTATTTTATATACTTCTAATATTTCATTAACAAAATTACTAACCAATTTAAGAATATTTTCTGATATAACTAGATTCTTATTATTATAATCTTGTAAAAATTTGTTAAAGACATTATGATAAAAATTGATAGGCTAACTAAAATTAGGATGATGGTTTTTGAAAAGATTTTAAAGTTTTCAGTATTCAGAATGTACAGAGACTGCTGAAGGTGAATCTATATATTATATTTCTGTTATATTTTTTTCTTATGTTATGATAATAAAGTTATGTTAACAAATATTAAATCTATTTAATAGTATATTATATATAACTTACCTTTCAGTTTTTTTATAGTTGTATTAATATCTTTTGAATTCATTAAACGTTTTTTGCCTAAAGAGGAAAACAGAATAGATAAATTGAGATGTTACCAATAAAGCACAAGTTATTTAAAGTTATAAACAATATATTGAATAAATAAAATAAATGAAATGGAATAAATGAAAAATAATTTTTTTTTTTGCATAATTTATTCATTACTTTTCTTTAAAATCAGTAAGTTTTTTTGTAAGAATATTACCTGCTTTTCTCAATCCTTTACTTTCTTCATTAACTCTTTTTCTTTTTTCTTCAGTCTTTCTTTCACCTTTTTATCTTCTTTGTTAAGCTTTTTTTTCTTCCTTCTCAATGTTTTTAGTAACATTCTATCATCCTCCCCATCTTTAAATTCTTTTAACTTGTCTTTCATCTTCCTATATTCTTTAAGTGCAATATCTTTGTCTTTTTTAATTTTTTCAATAAGAGTTGCCATTATAAAAAAAAGATTTGTAGAATTAATTTTAAAAAATTTTTTTTATTGATTTAGATCGTAATTGTTACAATTAATTATTTTTTATATATAATTTTGACCAATGATAAATTAGTGGATACATGACTTAGAAATTAAACAACAAAAAGAAATTATTTTATTTTAATTCAACTAATAATAGAAAAATATAAGTTGAAAATCATCAAAGCACTTGCATGGAAGAAAATACTCAAACCCAAAGTAAAGATGACACTGCAATTAGTTGCAATCATGTGATGCTTATTTGTCACCAGTTGCACTAGTTATAACTTAATTTTTATTAATATTACAACTAGTTGCAACCCTGTGATGCTTATTTATCACCAGTTGCAACCAGTTGCAATGTCATCTTTAACTCAAAGCTACTATGAGTATTACTTATTGATTATTTATTTTAAACCAAAATTAAATTGTTTAATAGTGATTATTAGAAGGATTTATTATTTACTTGAAAATTAAGTGAATTGGTAATATTTTTATAATGTTCTAATATAAGGTAGGATTATTTACCTTATTTTAATTTCAATAAGAAAAACAAAGATTTGTAACATATTTTTAATATAGTAGAATTTGTTTAAAAACTCAAATAATGTTTTTTTATTGATTATTAATTACATTTTGCATAAAGAAGAAATATTTTTGTAGTAAAAAAATAAATCAATATTGTAATAATATTTTCTTTCTCTGCTTTTTGTTAAGTAACAATATACTTTCACTCTACTTTCTTTTCTTAATGTTTATTATTTTTCTTTTTTCTTAATAAATTTTATAAGTAATCTTTTTTTTTCTTAATAAGTTTCTAATGTCTATCATTTATTTTAAAAATATAAGGAGCAATTTTTTCACCTTGTTCTTTTTTTAAAATACTTTTAATAATATTATAATTTTTAGATTACATTGTAAATCTTATTATTTTTATATAGGGATAGTTCTATATATCACTTAAGATAATAGATGTGATATTATAAAACTGATAATTATGATTATACTACAATTATACTAAATTTTAATCTTTGAAATCCTTGGTAACATCAATGTTTACTTTATCTGGTTTTGTTACAACATGTCCTATATGATTTTATATTTATATAATTTTAGAATCATATATTTTCTCTTACATATGCTTTTAGCATATGCTAACTTAGGATTTATTAGGATCAATAGATTTTTATATTTTAAAAAATTAATTAATTATATATTTATTTTATTTATTATTAATTTTAATAAAATCCTATATTTGCTTTTGATTGATATATAACTAAGAAATAAAATAAAAATTTTTGTAAAGATTTATTTTTAAGTTGGCAAAATAGAATCAAAATTCTTTCTAAAGATTTTGATAGAGTTATTAAAATAATATATGATTTAAACATAAATTATAAATTAGATTTAGCTGAAAATATCTTTATAAATTTGTTATTTACAAAGATATTGAAAATAAAAAAGACATTATTATTATTAATGAAAGTTAATCTATTCTTTTAAAATGTAAAATAAAATTATTAAAAGAATAATTTGTAATATTGTAAAAAAAATATTGCAAATTATTTTAGGCTTAAAATGAAACTTACCATAGATGTACATCCTAAAATTAATTGTGAACAAAAAACATATGCTAATTCAGAAAAATTAATTAGTCATAGTCTTCATGTAAACTTTTTAGATTTATCAATCACTGATTCATATGTATATAAAAATAAAAATTTTGATTTAGAGATACAAAAAATATATGATAAAAATGGAAATAATTTTAAAGAATGGTTATATAAAAATGTTAAAAATTATGTACTATGATCAATATTATTATACTAAGAAAATGAAACTATTTGTTAAGTTTAGAGCAATTTCTCTGCCAAGATATTAACAAATGTGTGAATTATATATAACTATTTATAATACATAACTAGCTAATCTACATTGACTTAATAATTAAGTGGGCAAATAATAAAATATTTTTTATCACTTTATTTAGTATTATATAGTTCTTTGCTTCACTTCAAACTAATAAAACATTTAAGCAAAATGTAAATTTAAATAATGAATAGAAAATAGATACAGTATTTTGTATAAAAAACTATGAAGCTGCAGGATATTAGGATAAGAATAGATCAGAATTTGTAATAGGATTTGTTTATAAAATTAGTGTAGTTAAAGAAGGATATTTTATTTATTCTGAATATAGTATTTACTATTAACATGATATCAAATTTAATATAGTATTAGTTAACATAAGTTATATATATATAGCTAAACTTAAATTTAAGTAAAAGTAGTATTTAATATATTAGCGTTAGTATAATTACTTTAACTAAAAAACTGCTAAAGTAATAAAAAAGAAGCAAATATTATGAATAATTAGATTTTTAAATTAATTTTATAATAATTTTTATTTATTTATATTATTTTATTAATAAAATCATTAAAATAAAAATCTAATTATACTAATTTAATGTTTAATTATCTTATTGATAAAAAATAATTAAATCCATGCATTTTTAATGAAATTTAAAATTTATAATTTAAATTAATAAAATAAATTTTAATTATTAACTATTAATACATTTTAAGTATTTTAATTATTATGGTATATAATTTTTATAGTTTTAAAATATTAATTTATTAATAATACTATTTCAAGTCAACTTGAATTAAGTCAAGTTTAAGTCAAGTTTAAATTAAGTTAAATTAAATATTTAACTTAACTTGAATTTAACATGACTTACAAATTATTAAATCAAAAAATATAAATTTGACTTGATTAAACTTGACTTGACTCATCTGACTCATAAGTTAATTTAACTTGTTCAGAATTCTATTCTTATTTTAGTAGATTTCTTTAAATTCACAGAAATAAGAAAATTTATAGACTTTTGCACATTCTATATATATTAAATATATAAGACACAAGTTTAAATAATAAACTAATATCATTTTAGACTTTATATTGATAGAAGAGTTATACATATCACAATATATATTATACATTTTATATTATATATCTGTATCTTACTTGTTATGTATTATATGTTATGAAAATTAAATTTACCAAGTAGTTTGTAAGTAATAAAATTAGCTATAAAAATAAAAATATATTTATTATATATAATTATTAATACATATGTCTTTTTTAAATAATTTATTTATTAAAATTTGGAAAGAAATAGAAGAATTTCTTCTTACATATTGTATAATTACTTTGGAATTTCTGGTGTAATTTTTTTAAATGTCTTTTGCATTTTTTATGAATTATATTTCAGGTTTTTTTAAGTTTATTGATATTATAATAAATCATAAACCTTAAAATGTTTATTTTTTTAAATTACACTTGTATTTATAATTTTTTTATCTCAAATATATTTTATAACTTTAATGTATAAATTATATAACTTAGTTATATTTTGGCCTCTTATTGTTAAAAAAATTAATTTAACGACAAAAAAAATAAAAAAGACTATCTTAATATTTATATATCATTTCGCAAAATCATATGTAGTTTGTATACAAATTAATTCTACTATACTAATTTTATTTAGATAATCAAATATTCAAAGATTTTATAATACACTGTATATAGGATAATGAATTTTAAAAACTCAATTTTTAAAACTCTTGTGATACATAACTTTTGCCAAAATTTACATATAAATTCTATACAAATTCTAATTTAAATTATATAAAAGATTTTTAAGATCCTATCTATATTAAGATTTTTTTATATATATAAATATTTATTAAATAATATAAGTATCATTTTTATTGATTATTTATTTAATAATAAAAAAAAAAAAAAAATTTCTATCTATTTAATACTAACTTTTTTAATATCCTATTATCAAATTATTTTAATATTAATATTTAAAAATAATAATAAGATTTTTTAATCTAATTATTTTATTTATAAATTAAAATTTAAATAATTCAATTATTTTTAGATTATTTATTTAAAATGATAAAAATTTGAAAGAAATAGTAATTTAATAAGTGCTAATTAAATTTGTATTTTATCTGTACTTAAAAGAGATCATATAATATGTAAATTTATAGATTTATAATTTAATTATTGAAAAAAAATAAAGAAGCTAATAAGAAATATAAAGGAATTAAATCTTTTTATTAATTATTCAAATTTTTATATAAATCTGAAAATAAAGAATTATTTTTTATTAAAATAAATATTAATGATATTATAAAATACTTTATAATAAAATAATATAATTTAACATATTTGAATTTAAAATATTTCTACATCTATTAATCAGATTATATAACTTTTAGATTATATAATCTTAATCAAAAACTTTTAAATAAATTAACTGTATAAATCAAATTAATAATTCTTAAGATACTTTATTTTAAAGTGTTTACTATATCACTAAAAATACTTGATCTTTTACTTAAAGTTAAATTTTTTTTTTTATTAAATTTAAAAATTTCATTTTTACTTTTTTATTATATGCTCTTGAAAATTATAATAATTTTTAAATTTTATCAGTTTATCTATAATTATGAATGATTTTTTAATAAGTTTATTAAAATATACTCTACAATAACATAACTTATTAATTGTTTCACTTTTTCAAGTTTATTGAAATAATGTATTTTTTTAATTTTATACTATTTTAAAGAAATAAAAAAACAAATTGTTAACAATAAAATCATTATAATATAAAAAAAACAACTTTAATTTTATATTATATAAATAGTAAATTATTTAGTATACAATTCTATTATATAAGCTATACAAATTTATATTAAATTTGATTTATATAATATACTATTACTTGAAATATTCTAGCCCTATTTGTCTGAGTATTATACAAATACTAAAACTTTGTTATTACACGTGTATTACTATAACTTTATTCCATAGTATATCTTTTTTCACAAAAAATAAATATTAAAATTTTAATAAAAATAACTTAAAGATTTAAATATTTTGTTAAATCTGAAAAAAAGTTTAAAAT